CTTGTCATTTGCAATCATTGCAGGAGGTTGTCCAGGCAGCCTTCAAAGTTCCAAGAAGCTTGCAGCAAGGCCTCTGACTTCCAGGTGGGCAAGCTTGAGAGAATGAAGACATTACTTGTCCCTGAACCACCTGATCCCAAGTCACCAGGTCTGCCTGTGAAGGCATCAAAGAAGGCCAAGAAAACACCAGCTTCTCCCAAGTGTGGCTCACCAACTTCTGTGAAAACAGAAGACTTGTTGAACATGGACATTCCTGCCACACAGTCCTCATTGGGTGGCAGCCTGCTCGATGAAGCCATGGGGACTGAACCCATTCCTGTGAGGAAAGCTGTTCTTAGAGAAGCCATTGCCCAGAAGAAGCCAGCAGCAAAAAGGCCTGCAGCAAGTGCAGAGGCAGTACCATCTGAAAAAAAGAATAGCAAAGGCAATGGCACCAAAAAGCCACAGGTTGCAGATGATGCTTGCTTTGTAGACCACAAGCTCAAACTGATGCCCTACAACCAGACTGGTGCTATGGCAATTCGCATAGACAAGGGCCCCCCAGCTGATCCAGATCAAAAGCAAGCAGGGTGCCAAGCAGTCCAAGGCCTTGGCTGAAAAGCTTCTGGCTGAATTGAAGAATGGCATGTCGCTGGGGGATGCCAAGGCTTGGAAAGCTGCAAGGCTGGCAAAGGAAAAGTAGCTGGAAGGCTACATGGCTTGATTTGATGCTTGGCAGGGCTATATGCAGCCCATAAGACCATGCATGCAAGCTGGCTGGACAGCCTAACAAGTGAGTGGCTTTGAAAAGAAAACAAGCACACAGGACATTGGGCTGGACAGCCTTTGCTTTTGTCTTTCTGCAGTGGGCTGGACAGCCCTGTTTGGAATGGTTTTTGGTAGTGGGCTGGACAGCCCTGTTTTGCAAGCAGTCTTGGGCTGGACAGCCCTTTTGGAAGCATTTTGGGTAGTGGGCTGGACAGCCCAAGTAAAACTTGGGTGGTGGGCTGGAAAGCCCAACAGGTTGGGCAGCAGAACTGTTTTGCAATGCTTGTCTTCAGTAGAGCTCAAGCTGAAGTGGAAAGCTCTTGCCCTGAGAAGGGCTGACTCGATCTGCCAGCAATGGATGGTGGTAATAAAGCCAAAGCTGCTGGAGGACAACCAGCTGCAAAGGGGGGGAAAGGGCAAGCCAGCCCCAGCTCCAGACCCATATGGGAAGGGGCCACCCACCCACCAAGGAGCTGGTGGTGGTGGCAGCAGTGTCTGGAGGGACAACCTCAGGTGCATGTGGCAATCTTACAACCCTGAGATGCCCTTTAATGTTTGGCAGCACAACCTGGTCGTTTACAGCCAGCAGGTGACTGACTTGGTGTTGGGCAAGCATGAGTCGCACAGGCAGTTCTTTGCCAGGTTGAAGGACAAGGTGGACCCAGGACAAGTGTCTCTGCTTTTGGGGCTGGACAGCCTCCCTTTAGTGTTCTTGTTTTTTTGCAGGCTGGACAGCCTGGCTGGGCAGTTGTGTTTTTTCTAGCAGGCTGGACAGCCTTTTGTTCTTGCACAGGCTGGACAGCCTTTTGTTCTTGCACAGCACAGGCTGGACAGCCTTTTTTCCTTTTGTTCACTTACAAAGCTGGAAAGTCTCACTCAGCAGGAAGTGACTGGCTGAACTTCATGGAGGCCTTGGTGGAGAGAATGAATGAGGCCCTGCTGAACCAGCAGAGGCAGCAGCACCAGCAACAGCAAGAAGCGCTGCTGCAGCAAATGCAGGCAGTACACTGGCCACTCCAGCAGCCTGCAGCAATGCAGCCACCAATGGGTCCACCACTGGTGATTGGTGCACCTGCCACAGCCATGTGGCAAGACCAGCAGGCTGGCCAGTTCTCCTGCGCTTGGCAAGAACCACCAACACCAGGAGGAGCAAGCAAGGCAGCAGGAGGACCACCACCCTTCCTGGTACCAACCCAGGCTGGCCAGCCTCCTGCAGACCCAGCACCCAGCCATACTCAGGCTGCACCTCCACCAGAGCCAAAAGCAGCCCCTCCACCAGAGCCAAAAGGAGCCCAGCCTGACCAGCCTCCACTACAGGCTGAGCAGCCTGCCCAGGCTGAGGGGCCTCCACCGACCCAGGCTGGGCAGCCTGCAGAAAAGCCAGAGCCAATGCCAGCCACACCAGCAGAAACACCCAGTCAGGCTGACAAGGCTCAAGCACCATGGAAGACTGCCGCAGCAACAAGCGCTACCTCCTCAGGCTTGAATGTGGCAGAGGCTGCCATGGCTGCAGAGCCACCAGATGAAGAAATGGTTGAGGAAGACTGGAGTAAGAGCCAGTGGTGGGGCTGGTGGACAAGTGGGTATGGCTGGCATGGCAGCTGGAAGCAGGATGATGACAAGCAGGAACAGGGTTGTGATGAAAACCACCCCCAACACACTTCTCAGCCTCCTCAACAGGAGGCTGCAGAGCCTGTTGGCCCTCAGGGGGCTGCAACACCTGAGGTTACTGAAGCTGGTGGGGTACTTCTTGCAAGGGAAATGGAAAAGATTTTTGGCAAAAGTACATGTGGAACTTCTTACTTCTTATTCTTAAAAACACCATTCATGGTTTTGTTTTCAGGCTGGACAGCCTCTAACAACTTTCGAGTGTGTTGCCCAGGACTGACTTCTGGGATGTAGACCACCCCAGCAACTGGTTCAGCAAGTGCAGAGCATGCACCCGCTACTCATATGTCGCCAAGAAGAGCAGGGTTAGAAAACCCAGTTGCAGAGGGTGCATGAGGCCTTCATGCAGCAGCTTCAGGGGTGGTGAAGCTGTGGATGGCCTGCAGGAAGCTGTGGACTTGTATGACACTGAAGTGTTAGAGTTTTAGGCTGGACAGCCTTTTTGGTACAGGCTGGATAGCCTTTTTCAATAGCCATGGGGGGGGCCTTCTGTTGAACTCAAAGCAGAAACTAGATATGTTTGTGTGATCTGTGGGCCCCCCTCTTGGTAACCTGACTTGGCAAGCTTGGATGCAAAAAAAAAGTAGGGGGTGGGCTGGACAGCTCATGGGAGGTGGGCTGGGCAGCCCCTGGGGGTGGGCTAGACAGCCCATGAGTGGGCTGGACAGTGTAAATGGGTGGGCTGGACAGCCCAAAAGAGTGGGCTGGACAGCCTAAAAGAGTGGGCTGGACAGCCCAAAAAAGCAGAAAGTAACAAACAGTAATATGAAGTAATAAACAATAAAGAAAAGTAATAAGAAGTAATAAACAGTAATAAACAGTAATAGACAGTAATAAACAGTAATAAAAGTAATAAACAGTAATAAAAAGTAATAAGCAGTAATAAAAAGTAAAGAAAAGTAATATGAAGTAATACATTTTCAGGCAAACCTTTGCCAACATATTGATTTTCTTGAGCAAATTTTTCCACCAGGTTCAAGACTAGGGCACCCCATACTGAGTAGCCAGCTGCCACCATGGGCATGAAGAGGCCTGCAGCTGCACCAGCCAGTGTCAACAAGAAACCAGCCACAGCTGACACAAAGGGAAAGCCAAAAACCACTGGCCAAGCAGTGGAAGCCAGTGAGGATAGCCTAACAGAGGCACAGGTCAAGAGGCATGAACAAATTGAATGTCTGATGGCTGAGATGGAGGGAATGGATGAAGGCAACATGAAAAAAAAAGCTTGCTGGGCTAGACAACCTCTCCATGATGTCCTTGTGGAAGAGGTTCAAGATGAACAGGGACATGGAAGGTGAAGACCAGAAGTATGCCCAGAGCACAAGTGGGCCTGGCAGCAATGCCAAAAAGCAAATGCTGCTCAGGGCCTGGCTGAAAGATGGTGGTCAGCTGCAAAAACACTACAGGCAGGCAGTGACAGCCTTTGAGCTGAAAAATGTGTCCAAACAAGGGTACAAGTGGAGGTCTTGGAAGAAGACCTGTGATGACTTGGGTAAAGACCAAGCACTGGGCATGCTGAAAAGGGGCACCCTCAAATGGAGAAAGAACCCCCCTAGATCCAAAGTACATGGAGTTTGCTGTGCATTCTGAAGAATACAAGCAGGAAGCTACCAAGACCAGGGGCACTCGACTGAAGGCTTCCTCCAGCAAGGCCACCAAAGAGGAAACCCTTGCAGACTATGAGAACCTTACTTTGGATGACCTCAAGGCTGAGGGCAATTGGGGGATGGAAGTGGTGGGAGAAGAGGATGATGTTGCATCCATGGACCTGGAGCCAGACCTCAAGAAATTCTTTGGCTCCAACAAAAACAAGGACCCCAAAGACCCAGAAGACAACCCAAAGACAACAGAGAAGAAAAACAAATGGGAGCTGACAAGCCAGGTGTCTTCTGCCACCACAAAGCAGGAACTCTCCAAGAAGCTTTTGGCTTTCAAAGCAGAGCTCTGCAAAGAGCAAAGCTTCTTCCAAGCAGCCATGGTTGATGCTGATGACAAGAAAAGCCAAGACTACAAGCAGGCTGTGGCCATGGTGAAGCTGGCAGGGGATGCCATAAAGCAAGTGGAGCAAGCCCTGACTGCTGGCTCCAAAAAGGAAGCAGCCAAGAATGCTTTGGTGGCATCCTTGAAGGCTGTGCAAGCCTGCAAGAAGAACCATCCCAAAAAGAAGGCCAAGAAGGAGTCTGAGGCAGGCTCTGATGAGGATTAAGCACCAGCCTAGGCTAGGCACCAATGTGCTGGGAGAGCACAACCATTTTGCACTCAGCTGGACAGCTGCCCAGGAATGAAAATGATTGCAAAGGCTGGACAGCCTTTTTTCTGGCAACTTTTTGAATATGTAGCTGGACACAGGCTGGACAGCCTTTCTTGTGGTGATGGGTTGGCAGTTCTGCAGGGTGGGCTGGACAGCCCTGTAGGCAAAAGGTTGCAATTTTCAGGTGGCGCAATAGCCTCAAGCTAGGAATATGTCAGAGCCCTGCCCCTTGTGGGTTCTTCTGGTGCAGAAATTTGCACTGGGCACAATAAGTGCCATTGAACTCCAACATTTGGCTGATGCTGCTGTGAAGAGTGGTGCAAGCACACCAGAGATGCTTCAGCTTCAGGGCCTTGGCGCCATGGGCCAGCAGTCAGGGAATGTTCACAGAGATTTGCTCAGGAAATGCTTCACCCATCTGCAAGCACCTGCCCCATACAAGCTCACATGCCAGATGGCCATGAAAGTGGCTGGTGAGAAGTGCCTCACAGAATGTGATTGTTTTGTTCTTTTGCTCCACCAATGGGTGGAATCGCTCCAGCAGGGGGAATTGTTGGTCAATCTGACATGCACTGACAATGACCTCATCCTTTTCTGGGAGAGCCAGAAAAAGAGCCTAGGATAAATTCCACAATCTTTTTGATTTTTTTTTGCTGGCAGCCTTGATGCTGTCTTGGCTGCACACCCCTTTAACCAAGGAACCCTCAGATGACACAACAGCTCTGGAGATCATTGGACTTTGATCGACCAGAAAGTCTCCCCATTCCATGGTGTTTGCATGGTGATGGAGCACCCTTCACAGAGACTGATTCCATACAAGTCCTTTCCTTTAGATGCCTTTTGACATCAATGCCTGTGGGAGACAGCCAGCTCCTTCTAGCTGCAATACCAAAAGCAGCAGTCAGCAAGGAAACATTCAACACCATCATGGAATGCATGGCTTGGTCCTTCACTTCGCTCTATGAAGGCAAAGCACCAAAGAAGAACCATTCTGGAGTGCCCATGGATGGAGTGAAGGGCAGACCCCTGAGAAGGGGAGTTTTGTGGGCAATCACTGGTGACCTGGAATGGTTCGCATCAGAATTTGGCTTCCCATACAGCTCAAACAATATGATTTGTGCATACTGCTTGGCAGACCAGAAGAAGACAGGCAGTGAAAGGCCTTTTACAGACTGCAGGCCAACCGCTGCTTGGAGGTCCTCCATCCTCTCCCCAAAACTCCTGCAAAAGGAATATGGCACCCACCCACTCTTCAAGGTGCCAGCTTGCTCACCTCTGGCAATCAAATTGGACATTTTACATGTTCTCGACCTGGGTGTTGCTGCTTACCTGCATGGGAGCGTCCTCATTGACATCATGGACAAACTTGGAGGGACCTCTAGAAGCTTGGACACCTTCTTTGCTTTGGGCTGGACAGCCCTAGTTGCATGTAGGCTGGCTGGACAGCCTCCCATGTTGCATGTGGGCTGGACAGCCCTGGCTAGATCTATGGGCTGGACAGCCCTAGGCCCTAGTCACTCTGAAAGCCCAGGAGAAGCCAAGATGCAGCTTCTGAACAAGAAGATTGCTGAGATGTATGGCAAGTTGGGCATAGAAGCTGCCAAAAGAATCAAGCACCTGACCCTCAATGATGTGGCATCATCTGCAGAGGAGTACCCTGTGCTCAAGCACATCAAGGGGAACAAGATTCGACACTTCGCCCCAGTGGCTTTGGAGCTGAGTAAGCTCCATGCAGATGACAGGGCAGAGAAACACAGAGTTGCAATGCTGGAGGAGTTGCAGAGAATCTACACACTGCTGGGCAAGAATTGGAAAGAGTGGTCTCCAGAATGTGGTATTGCCCTGGAAAGGGCAGGACAAGTTCTCCTTGCACACTACTCGTGGCTTGCCAATGATGCCTTTGAAAAAGGTTTGCATCGATATTCTCTGGTGCAGAAGCACCACAAATTGAATCACCTTTTGGCACAAGCCCATCATATCCATCCAGCCAGCACATGGTGCTATGGCTCAGAGAGCTTTATGGGCATCATAAAGCAGATATCATCCAGCTGCACTTGGGGCACACCAGCTCACAAAGTGACTGGAAAGGTGCTGATGAAATTCAGGCTGGTCTTTCATCTACTCCTCAAGGGGTACAGAAATCTGGACATCATCGACTCTGCAGAAGAGTGAGAAAACATTGCCTTGCTGCATTGCAAGTTGGATTGCCATGGGCTGCAGACTAGGCTGGACAGCCTTAACTTGTTTCCATAAGTACAAGCTTGTGGGCTGGACAGCCCTATAGAGTTGCACTTGTGGGCTTGACAGCCCCAGAGAAGACCTCATGCATGCCAAAAATGACACAAACAAGTAGAAAACCAGTGCAAAAACGATTGAATTTTAAAACCAATTTCGATTGAATTTCAAAAGCATAAATTCGATTGAAAAAAACAAAAATTCGATTGAATTTTGCACAAATTCAATCTTCGATTGAAAAAATCAATAGCGATTGAATTTTTTCAATCTCGGATGCTTTGGGAGGGTTTGGCCTGGCGGGTCCGCCACTGCGGCCAACACAGCCGACATCCTGCTTGGAGCAGTCGAGACCACACGTCGACATTTGGCCAGAAAATCATAAGGCTCCTGCGGGTCAGTCAAACGCCACCCTCGCTGCGACTTGGTATAACCTCGAACTCCCGTGAGGAGCTGAAAGGCTAAGAATGCCTCATGCCAGGTCATCCAGACAATGGGTGCATCCGGCCGAGTCAATTGATCCAAGTAGGCCAGCAAAAAATAGAAACCTCGAAAACTGAAAACGCATCAAAGGAGGGGCATGCCACCGCAAGTACTGGCTGAGCCGTGGCGCATCGAGCAGCATCATGCTCGGCTCGTCCTCAGTCAAGGCAGGCTGCACGTGAGGACCTGCCTGACGCTGGCTGGTGACAGCTTAAATTGCTCTCCTACTCAAACAAAATGGCTCTGTACTTCTGCAAGGCATCTAGTCGTGCGACGAACTGCTTGCCTGGCGGCACAAACTGCTTGATTCACTTCAACCGGCAGCTGGTCTAACATACTGGCTGCCGCGGCATCGGCCATGCCATTACCCCGAAGCACGAATTCCTCAGCCGCAGTGTAGCTGCCATGTGACTAACAACTTTCAATGCCACTGGTGGACAAGCCAGTTGCGGTACCACAGTCATGCACCGCCTGCCACAAGTCGGAATCAGCCATCGTGGGCGAGAAATCAAGGTCACCTTGAACGGCTCGATACGCTTTGAGGTAGACTTCTTGGTTGTCTATCCAGATCCTCCTGAAAGCCTGAGTGGCTTGCAGAAAACGGGAGGGCAGCAACCAGGGCCCACAACTCAGCCCTAACCACCGTCTGCCGAACACCTGGGACAAAGCCTTGCGTGGCCAGGTGCAACTCCGAATAGGTGTCCGGATGATTGACCACAACTGCCCAGGCAGCGACTCTCGTGTATGGGCAAGTCGGAAGATCAGCAGTGCCATCAGTGAAGAGCTCAAATTGAGTGCCAAGGTGCAGGGTCGAACAAAGTCTTGGCAGACAGATCCGGTAGACGGGCAAGGGAATGCCGCAGCTGGTCAAGTGCAGGCCAAGTATGGTGAAGGAATTGGGTTGCTCCTCAAAAACTCACCGAAAGCTGGCCACGCGAAGGAGCAGTGTGGGCACATTGCCAGTGGCGATGGCGAAGTGAATCCTCTTGACCACACCAAGGACACAGGGGCGTAAGATCACCCTCACTTCGGTGTCGGAGAATGATGAAATCTCCACTCAACGCTCGCAACCACCCCCTCTGAGCAGGAGGATGCGCTTGAACTCATTGACGTGCCAGTGCTGACCAGGCTTTTTGCAAGCCATCGTACCCTTTGCGGCAGCACCGCCTGGAACCTATACAGTCAAAGAAAAGCCGTGCTCAAGCCACAGGCGCACCTCCTCAAGGGCACTATTCAAAAGGTCACACTCCAGCCCGGTGCGCGTGCGAAATGTTGTGCCTCTAAGGTGCATCCACCCAATGTCCAGCAACCACTGCACCAAGACGCCACATGGACCCGGCGCCCGAAGTCCCAGATCACTACCTGTCAGCAATTCCAGAACAGATGCCTGCACATCTGGCAATGCATGGCGACGAAACTGCCGCGCCGTTTGGTGCAAAGCGTAGAACTCTGGGTCGGCGCTGGGTGTTTCCAAAAGGCAAACCAGTTGAGGCTGGGTGCCTTTGCTGGCCAGCTTGCAACCCCGAATCAGGTCGGCTCGCATGCGGTCAAAATGAGCCCTCCGCAAGGATGCGACCGAGACCGAATGAAGAGCTCGTGGCCAAGCACATGCCCTCGCTGCTCGGAACTTTTGCAGAATAGAAGCCAAGCTCTTCCCTAGGTGACCCCAAAGCCCCTGGAGGGAACCATGCCTGTCCCTGATGGTATAGTTGGTGTGGCGCCGGGAATACTGCATGCGCCCTCCCAGATTGCAAGCCTTGAGCCTGGAAGTCATGCCGGGCGGCAGCATCAAGAGACCACGTGTAGGTCTTCCCTGAGTCAAGCTCAATGTCCAGAGCCTCACAAATGGCATGCAAAGACTGGATGCCCAGGGCATTACGAACGCTAAAGTGTCGAACGTTGGTCGTGACAAAACCTAGCCAGGCTCGCAGGACACTGCCGTCAGCTCCAAGGTGCACAGCTGCCCGGAAGACCCGCTCACGTGGAAGCGTGTTGAAGGCTTTAACTAAATCCAAAACACTACCGGCTAGGGGAACTTCATCATACAGAGCGCTTTCAAGCATGGCCTGGTTGGCCCACCAGATGGCGACAGTTGAAGAACCAACTCGGTTTCCTCTGACCCCTGTAGGGGCATGCTGACTGATGAACTTGAGCAGATTTTTGGAGTGAAAGGAGGACCAAATGCGGTAAGGCAAAGGGTAAATGGTGATGGGCCTATAATCATTCACAGTGGATGCCTCATTGAACTTTTGAAGGCTGTGCGCGACACCATGTCTCAACTGGATGGGCCACACTCCTGTGGTCTCTGCACGACCAAAAACATCAAGCAACCCCTGCAAGGCCCCCGAAGGCATGGCCAAATAAATCGGCTTGGCTGATACCATCAACCCCGACAGCACACGTTGGCTTGCGAGATCTGACGAAGGCTCTGAGCTGATCAACTGTGATCACAGCACGTTCATTTGGCAAAGATGGGAGAAGGCATTCAATTTGAGCACGCACCCCGTCCCAATGATGTGGCGGCAGGTGATCATGAGTGCACCACCGTGACTGCCAGGCAGTCTCGAAGGCTTTCAAAACCTCATGGAGGGTTCCTAAATCTGTGCGTCACCTGGGAGCCAGGGGAAGGCAGGGGGGCCTTCCATGTCAAGCCACAATTGGTCCGACTCTGCATGCACTATGGTGAATCCATGCCTGGGCAGTATATACATGTGCCTACACATGAGGCTTGGGCAAGATAAGCCTTCTAGCCGTGTGTAACCCAGGAGCGCTATATTGTTCCATGATTTTTGCAAAGCAAGGCGTTCTAGCTAGAAAGCTCTCATTCCAGCACTCCTGGTGGAACAGGAGGGAGCCTACATCCGTCTGTACAGGCCTATAGCCGGATCAAAATGCTGAAGCTCACTAAGCATTACCGACTGAAGATCATCATGTGACTGGACAGTGGCTGCGGCTCGAAGACTGAGAGTTTCAACTGGCTCGGGTCCAGGGGCTTTAATGTCACGAAGAATGAGATTGGCATGGTGCTGTCTTCGGTCAATGGCTGCTTTCCGACGAGAAGCCAATAACTGCTTTTCAAATGCCTCAAGATAGGCTGAGAAGCCCGCTTGAAGACAATGGGCCTCAGCTTGGCTCGGCGCCGATTTGGCAATGGGACGAGAGTGGTCGGGCATTACATGCTGCTGGCAACACGCCAGGAAAGGGGACCCATTGCCGCCCACAAAGTGACTCGGTGCACAACTACCGAATGACTGGTGGTCTGGTCAGGCAATCTAGCGAAGTGCTGCAAACGCCGGCATTGAGTAATGCGCCTGCGATAGTGTATAGACTCGACATTAACCACTGCAGCTTTGTCACCTAGACGACCTGGTTTGACTGGACACCTGTCCGGGCAGACCCTACGAATGCTGGCCATGGGCAGGCCCTGCTAAGCCTTTATCCCTACAAGCTTGCCGAACACTGGTCTCGCCGCTCAAGGCTTGGAAGACAACCATCGCTGTGCTATGTAGGCCTTTTCTTTGTATCCAGAGACGTCAAGGAATCTGCTCATCGCGTTTGCTATTTTTGTTGTAAATAGCGAACTCGCAGCCTCTCCATTCTTCTTGAAATGAAGATGTGCGCCAAGAATGACTCCAAACGTATGCTTGTTTCCTGTTCTCATCTCAGAACCACCGGCGTCCTTCAAAGATAAGGCTTTCACCGACTGTTCGAGGTCGCCTATTGGGAGAGCGATGGGAAGGTTGATGACTTTTTCTCCAGATGTAGGCAACGAATAGTCGATACGATACAACAAATGTTTGCCATTCGCTCAACATCCGAATCGATTGCTACGCCTGCAGAAAGTTTGTATGGGATCAGTCCAAAGACCTTGTCTGTCGTTCGCATCACAGAGATTGTTTTCCCGTCAAAGGAACTGAGAACTGCGATGAAGTTTCCTGTTGCAACCTGCGCGACCATGCTTGATTTCGTCGTTGCGACCTGGGGCACCCGGTCGAACGTGACTGCCGTCGAACCACATGGCCGCTCCAGTTCCGAAGAGTTTGGAGTCCCGGTTCGGTGCCAGTGGGATGTGACGGCACCGGCACCCGGTCTACCGGTCTACCGTATACCCTTCGGCACCCAACTCCGGTGGATCCACCGAAGCTACCCGCAATCCGAACCGCGGGTGGCTCACGGGGTAGGACGGAGACTCTTTGGCTCCGGTGATCCAAGGAGGAGACCAGTGGTACCTTCTTCGGTACGGTGTGGCCATGGATCCGACTCAAACGGCTTAAATCTCCGGTGTCAATTCGGGGGGGCTGCAGCCCATGTCATAGGAGGAGATTGCCACAAGGTTTTTGCCCAGTCTCTATATAAACCACTGAAGATTTGAGCCTTAACAGTCCTGACGAAATTGGACAGTTGGCCCCCCAAAATATTCCACGTGAATTGATGTGGTGAGGCTGCAATTGTCTGTG